GGTTAGGATGGTGGCACAATTTTTAATGTGAATGTAAGCAAGATTCAATAATGTTGGAAAAGATTCGCAAGATGCAATGTAACAAGGAGACCAAGCATATACGGTACACGGAAACACACGCGCAAAAAGATAAGTGGGGTTGTGCAACCAAGGGTGAGCCAAAATGTGGAATCTACAAAAATGCTCTTGTTGCACAACACTAGAGAGACGCTAGCATGATTGCACGATAGGCGGATACAAGAACTTGTGCACAACCTACTTAGAAAAAATGCAACGACTTCTATCCCAAATATGTTCTATACAAGGTGTTGCTATGATATGATCCAAGATGATCGAGTATATCAATCTTAATGTTGTATGATCCTATGGTTCTTGCTTAAAAGCTCTTTGCTTATCTTTCCTCTTCGCTTAAAAGCTTGGTTGGCTCTTTGATGTTTGAGCTCTTTTCTCATGCAATGCTTGACGAACCAAGATAGCAAGTGAGTATGCGATGACAACTTTGTGACACAAGAGATGATACCAATATAGGCAACAATGATGTATGTATGTATGCTATGGGAAGTATGATCACTAATGTGCACAAGTCTCGTTGCCGGCAATACTCAATGGCTAGTCTCGATGGGTAAGAAACGCAAAGGAGTAAGGCTATGATGGCTATCAATGTAATGGCAAGAGTGATATGTCCAATACCAAGATGAGGTTACCCATCTTGCTTCCGGTATGGTGTCAAAATGGTGGCACGAATACCAAGTCATAGTTGAGGTGGTCGTTGTTGATGACGCGTCCATGGCGAAAATGAGCGGCGGTGATGTCGATGTCGAACCGTACCTAGATAGCCAAAACACAAAAGGATACGGTACCGCAACTCAAATTCTCAAAACCAAGTGCGACCAAAAGCGTCGGAGTGGGTAGTGGGTAAGTGGTGGTGTGGGATGGGATATTGGCAATGTTTGCGGAAGTCGGAGGTGGTGTAGCGGAAGATGTGGTGGAAGCCTAAACAAAATTTGAGCGAAATCAGTTTTTAGAGTAGCGGTCGTCCGGAAATAGACGGATGTCCGGTCGCCGGACGTCCGGTAGGGTCGGAAATCCGCTAATTTCAGCTCGGTTTAGAGGTTCCGGTCGTCCGGTAAGGTCGGACGTCCGGTGGTTCCTGCGGCTCCGGACGTCCAGTAAGTTGCGGTCGTCCGGTAGGTCGGGGTCAAAATTGATATGATTTCATGGATTTTGGATGGATTTCGAGGTGGAGATGGTGGGGGATGGCTAGATCCACTTGCAACACAACAAATTCACGGATCAAAACCAACAAAACATCATCGAAACTCACAAAACACAAGAAAATTTTTTGGGGCTATTTTTGTGGGGATTTTCGGATTAGGACGAAAAACAACAAAATCAAGCTAGAAAACGAAGAGGGGGCTCCGAAATCGTGATCAACCTGGCTTTAGATACCAAGATGATGTAGGGTAGAGACCCTAATCGCCCGATCTTTCACGAAAGGAGCGGATCCCGGGGAAATCACGAAGAACACAGGGAAAACGGAAGGAAAACACAAGAGGAAATCACTAAACCGACACGAATAAGTCACACATGGGCTAGATCCTCGAGTACATAGAACGATACACGAATCCACGGACAACTAGGGACGATACACGGTAACCGGTTCTTCTCCGTGAGGAGGTCTTGAATCCACAAGGAATCTTCCCGTAAAGGGGGCTTGAATCCGCTTAGAGGTGGGAGAGGTCTATTTATAGTCTAAGTGCAAATGGGGCAAAAGTAGGGGTACATGGGCCTCGGACCCGAATCTGGACGCAGCCAGATACCGGCCGTCCGCTGGTGGCCGGTCGTCCGGTGTCTCAGGAGCGGCTGGTCGTCCAGTGTCCTCCGGACGTCCGCTGGTTCTGCTCTGTGATGGGGGTGCCGGACATCTGGAAACGTCGGACTTCCGCTGATGTGGGTTCGGGTGCAGGTGCGCCGGTCGTCCGGTCCGGACCGGACGTCCGCTCATTTGCTTCGGGTGTAGGGGCACCGGTCATCCGGTCTGGACCGGACGTCCGCTCGCTGGGGCTCGGCTGATGCTTCAGGCGCCGGACGTCCGGTCCCGGCCGGTCGTCCGGTGGCTGAGACTTTTCCTTCAGCCCTCCTTCTTCTCCGTCTTCTCGTCCATCTTCCTCTTCTTCTTCTTGTCCTTGCTCCTTAGCTTCTCCATGGTACTTGAGTATGCACAAAGTATCCATGTGAGGTAGTAGCCATGCTTCATGTGCATCGAAGTGGAATTGTGAGAGGAGAGATGTCACCTCGGTTTCAAGAGCTCTTGCACGTGATCGAGTCATGGGTCCACTAGGCACTTGATGAGACGATGGTAGGTCCATGGGGATGACCTTGGGATGCTCCGCATAAAAAAAGATGTGTGAGGGAGGGGTAAGATTTCAATGCGCCTCGGCTGTCTGGCGCAGTTGGGCCACAATGACCTGTAAGCTCTTCATTTGGCTTGCACTCCAGTACAGAGTGTGGACTTCGGACCGCAGGCAGAGGCATGGTCTGCAAGATCATAGCTCAGCATGCTTCCTATGTGACCAAGAGGAGGACAAAGTGGATCACATACTTCTGCAGTGTGTATATGCGAGACAAGTGTGGTTTTTGTGCTTCCGAGAGCTGGGCGTGGATGAAGCTTTGATTCCAACCACGGAGGATACACTAGGCGATTGGTGAGTTTCCGCTAGAAAGTGCATTGACAAGGGACATCGGAGAGGATTCGACACAATCTGCATTTCACTCTGCTGGAACCTATGGAACCAGAGAAACGACAGAGTTTTTCGCAACAGCAACATCGCCAACGAGTGGGGAACGACCGATCTTATCCACCAGGAACTTAGGCTATGGGCATCGGCGAGAGGGAGAGGAGTTCAGCATGGTATAGAGTAGTAGCCTAATGTGTGGAGTCGAGGGGTGGACGTGCATGCCGTGTGTGGTAGTGCATTCCGTCGTCTGTATTTCTTGTACATAACTCTCTCTCATCTATAAAGCTAAGGTACACATTTTGCGTACTCTTGGAAAAAAAGAAAGTGGTAGTTCGGAGAGGAGTGAGTTCACCTTGTCTTCGATAGCCTTCGCTCGGGCTCTTGTCATTGGTCCACATGATGTCGTAGGAGACGTAGGTAGGTCCATGAGGATTGATGAGGACATCAATACCATTGTTACACCCACAGCCCCTACTGTTACATATACTGGACCAATTACTAGAGCTCGCGCATGCCAATTAAATTACCAGGTACTTTCGTTTCTTAGTAATGATTCTAATGTTCATGAGATTATGATGCTGCCTAAATTGGATACATTTGTTTTGCTTACAAATGAAGGGCCTAGCTTGGAGAAGGATGAACATTGGAGCAAGAACACGCATGGAGTTGATGGCATGCGCAAGGGGATCAAGAACGGAGTTACAAGTGATGATTTCAGGACTTTGAAGCCGCCATAATTAGTGCATGAAGCCTTGGACGAAATATACAAGATGCCACTTCATAATATTCGTCCATAGGCTATTCTAGGTGCTGCGTCACCTTATTAATGGGCCAGGCCCATGTAATTTCGAAATACTTAAGTATAGGCTATTTTTAGAGTCCTTATGTGTGGGGAAACAAGAGTTAGGGTTGGTTTCGGACCCCACCCTCAAGGGCCACGAAATTCCCCCCTCTTCCTCCATATATACAACCCTTAGGGCGTCGTTTAGACTTTGGGTTTTGTTTAGATTAAAAGTTTGCCATAGCTGCAACTTCGCGTACTTCGTTTGTGTCCAACGACCAGACCAAGACGTCACAGAACCCCACCTTGATCAATAAAGCTTTCATCTTATATTCGCAATATCCCGATTGCAATCTCAGTTTCTTGTTTGTTCTTCGTTTGCTCGCAGGAAACAGACCCTCGTGGTCAGATTGATCGTGCTCCGGCGTGGTCAATAACCCTCGGAAGTTGGTTTAGCAATTGCTAAGGCGCGATGTCTCGCACGTTCGTAGTCGGATCGTCAAGGTCGACTCCCACAGAAAATGATAGCCACCATCTCATCGAAACATCGGGACACCTTAGCCTCTATCAAGGATGACCTTGGGATGCTCCGCATCAGCCTGGCTTGGTGAAACACCGAACGGGTCGTGCGGCACGACCCCTGGTAGCCCGCGCGTATGGCAGTTATCGGCATGATTTTGATAAGGAGGGTAGCACATCCTAAAAAAAAGATAAAGAGGGTAGCACACAAAACAAACGCTGAGTAGTATATGACTTTTTTCAAAAACGTTGGACTATATAAGAGCATTACTAGTAGAGCTCTCAAACCCTCGAACCCCTAAAATAACTGCTTTTTTATAGTTTTCGTTAAAAAAAGCCGTAGACTAGAACCCCTTAACCCTCAAACCCTCAAATTTTTTTAAAGGTCCAACCCTCAAACCCTCTCCCAATCCTCAAAAGTAAGGGTTGGGGAGCAAAACCTATCCCAACCCTCATTTGGCGGTTATCCTCGCGCGGGAGGGAAAAATCCTCCCAACTCCCGCGCCCACGCCCGCGGTCGCCGCTGCTAGTCGCCCCCGTCGCCGGCGGCCGCCCCGTCGACCTCCCGCGCGCAACGACAACGTCGTTCATGGGGAATATTCCATTATAAAGGTTGGGTTTAAGGGTTCTAATCCTTGCCTTTATTTTTTAATGCGTAAAAGTGCATAAAAAATTATTTTTGGACCCTTAAAACACTAGTGAGGGTTTGAGGGTTCGAGGATTCTACTAGTAATGCTTCTGTGGCTCCAGCCAGGGAAAGGAGCCACTCTTGCAGCCCTTTGGCCAGCCCACCCCGCTGGTCTCGCTCACGGTCACGGGATACCCCACGCGACGAACACAACAACACCACGGCCAAAAGCGAAGAAGAAATTTCTCTTTCCCTTTCCACTTTCCTCCCCCATTTCCACCCACCATCCGGCAGGCAGAGGCCACCGGCCCCTCGCTCCTTGTCGCCGCTCTGGATGGCCACTGCTCCCAACATCGAGATGATCGCCTCTTCGCTGCGCAGCTGCTCCCTCAACGGCGGCGGCTGGCGGCCGGGCCGGCGCCACCGCCACGGCCACGCCAGGGGCGCTGAGGGCAGCAACGACAGCGAAGGCGTCACCGTCGAGCTCAACTCCGACGTCGCCCTGCCCTACCACTGGCAGCAGTGCCTCGACATCCGGGTACGCACACGTCCCCATCTACACATTCCGTCATTTGTTCCCCTTCACAACATCCGAATCGGAGGGAGAACGAACATCCGCCAGGGATGGGATCGATGGCCGTGCGCCCCCGTGCGCGTGCGTGCATGGGCGTGTGCGCTCTCCCAATCATTTGGACATAAATGACAAGCGGCTTACGAGGTAGTTGGATGCCTGTACTTCGTAGTTTTGAGGCCCGGATTCGATGGGTCAATCATTCGCATCATTTAATGGCCAAAGCGGCTGAACACTTGAGACGGATTGAGCTTCATTAATCGCCTCCACTTTTGGCCCCCTCTTTTGTTCTCTTGTTATTGGACTCTTGCATAATCTGTTCCTAGCCGGCAACTCTTTTCTCTTGCAAAATTTCCTTTTGATTATTTGATCCGTCTCCTTGTGATTTCTTTCCAGCTTTAGAAAGGCTCGACCCTTTCCGCTGGATGGCAACTTGTTCTCCCCCATTGCTATGCTGCTGTTTTCTCTTCTTGAAATACTACTAATATCCTAGTGCGCCATCAGATCTGCGTCTGTCTTGTAAATCCTGACATATCTGTGTGGATCCATTCCTTTTTGCTCTGTCTCCCTCTCTTTGTAAAGCTAGATTTCGCCATAGGTTTCTTCTGGACCACAGCCATATCGATTATCACCGGAGTTGTGAGGATCTTTATTGCGCTAGGATAGATGCCACCCTGCTTCCAACAAACAAGTGACATGAAAAAGTTAGTTAAAAATAAGGTGCGATGTAGCCTAGGGGTGTTTGCTTCCAGGTACTTTTTTTGTCGGGACTAGAAAAAGTTTTTAAGAGAACCAAACACTACCTGAATCTTCACCGTTCGATTTCCGAATCCTAGAAAAAAATATGTTGCGGGTTTTCTCATTTTATTTTCTACTACACAAATACTCTCCGCACTCGCACCTCTTCATTTTGATTCTCACCGCACTCATCTCTGTTTTTTTCCAAGCTAAAAACCACCACACCCGCAAAAAAAAACTAAAAACCAACACAACTGTCACACACTGACCGAAGAGAATCTTGCATATATTCCCTGCGAGGTCACGAGTTGCATAGAGCACATTTCATCTGATCCAGCAGTTCTATTCCACATTGCTCTGCCCCTGTATTGATGTCCATCGGTTCTAGTTGTCAAACATTTTCCTTTTGCTTGGTAATCAAACATTGTGTTCATGGCCTATCTCAAATCAAGATGTACATACATTTTGAAAGTTTTTTTTGCAGCATCTCCTCATTTCTATTTTTAGTTGATTTCTCTCAACATCTACTTTTTCCACGATTTTTCTCAACACCTAGATGCTACAGGGAATTTATTGAACTTGCTACCTTTTTTTCCTAATGATCTGATGCAGACGGGGCAAGTGTACTACATCAACTGGGAGGACGGCACCCGGACGACTATCGACCCTCGCACGCCGTCGCTTTGCTCCGCCTTGTCGACGCCGCGGTCCACCTGTTTCACTTCACACCGCGCAGCCTTCACTTCGTCGTCCAGCTCTGGGTACACCTCCGCGGCGTCCAGCGTCACCGGCGGCTACGGCTACGGCTATGATGACAGCGACGGCTATAGTGAAGGCTACGGCGACGACGAGGAGAGCAGCAGCAGCAGCAGCCGGAGCTCCGGCGTCTCGTCCGTGCTCTCGTCTTTCTTCCCTAGTAACGAGCCCTCCTCCAGCGACAGTGGGCACGCCACCAGCCACGTGCTCGTTGCGGTCGGGTGCAGGGCGTGTTTCATGTACTTCATGGTGCCCAAGAGCGTCGGCCTATGCCCCAAGTGCGGCAGCTCCGGCCTCCTCCACCTCGGAGCCTCTTACGCCTGAGCTGCCAGCCTGCTACCACCTGTTCCCCCGTGAGTCACTACTTGCGAGGCGTGGTGCAATTTCGTGGCTGTCATGGACTACCGAAGACAGCGTTTTGTGCGAGGAGGTCCCCAAATCGTTGCCACTGATTCCTGGTTCCTGTGCTTCTGTGCCAATGTACGGGACAAGGGAAGGAAAGAGACCCATGTCATTGCTTTCTCTATGTCCTCGTGGGACTCGACGACAGAGACTAACCTTCCGTCCTTCCATTTCAAGAGTGAACATTTGTGCTCTAATTAATTACCGTTGTTGGGTTAGCATTTTATTATTTTATACTCCATCCGTTCCTAAATATAAGTCTTTTAAGAGATTCAACTATAGACTACATACAAATCAAAATGAGTGAACCTATACTTTAGAAGGCGTCTATATACATCCGAATGTAATCTCTAGTAAAATCTCTAAAAGACTTATATTTAGAAACGGAGGAAGTAAAATATTGAAAGGGAGCAAACAACCATGACATGCATACAAAGTCTGTAGTTCTTTTATAACATAGTAAAAAACTACAAACACAGATGCTCACATGCACGCATACCCTATCCTTTTGAACACCGAGATATTGAGTCGGCATAACATCATAAAATTAACGAAATCACCTCAGGTGCCTTTGTAGTTGATGAGAACGTCCCCTCACATTGAACGAGCATCACCGACTGAAATAAATTCAGAAAAATATGAGCACTACCGGCAAGTCCATGACTTGAACCTTGGTAGGTTGGTTCGAACACAAGAAACCTAATTATCTGAGCTAGGTTCAACTCGCACAGTATCAGCTAGTTGGTGCAGTGCTTACTTGGCAATTTCGCTATATTATTTTATTTCCAGATTTTTTTGGCGATTCAAACTTTTAGACATCATACAACATTATGAAGTTCATGTCGAATGAAGGGAGATTGCAGCGACCCGACCCAAATGGATCGAAGTCTTTGTGCTTAAGTGCTATTCCATGAATCGGCTTGCTAGCACACACAATACTTGATGAATAACAGAGTTCAATCACACACTTTATTACATCAAAAATCCTCAAATTGAGTATTTATTACATAAATATGGTTGAAGGTCATCTAAATCAACATACTATGGAAGCATAGAAGAATAATGGGCCCATCAACTCCACTGGTAGAATTGAGTGTAGAACAACGACCTATCACACATTACTCTTCGTCGGAATAATCTGGAACATGATAAATTGCAGCCGTGTCAGTCAGCATATGGAATATGCTGGCAATGTCACACCCTGAAATAAAAATGATAATTTTTATCTCTGCATAAAATCTGGTCGGTGGAAGGCTCTAAGATTCAAGTTTTTGAATAAATCTAATTTTGTCCTATATCAAATTAATTAAATTACTGATGGTTCCTCCTGCTCAATCCAAACCCAAATTTATTTATAACCCAATTCATTAAAAATGATGAGATCACTCAATAATTTCACTTCTAGATGCTCAAGTTGTCCGTAACCGAGGACAGGACTAATCGATTAGTTTTACACTCTAGGGAGGTTTGTGCAAATTTCCCCACAAGACTCACTCATCTTCTTTGTAGTCCTCACACTGCCTGATGTTTGAGAACCGGAATATCGAGACAAAGTCTTTGAGATATGTTACCCCTTAACAATGGATAGGCCGATACACCTACATTCCCCTACATCTGCTAGCCTACCCGGAATGGTTCCCACAAACTACTCAACTAAGCCAGAGCCAATAATAGCTTGTGTCCGCACACGTAAGCTTCTAGTCATGAAAGATTGTTTGATCCCTTTGAACCTGGGTGGCTTTCCATACAAGAGTGATCCCCTGGTTACTCCAGGACACTCAGGTAAATCCTTGGTTACTCCAGGGTGCCCCTCACCATGCAACTATTCCACCCAGATGTTTGATTAAAGTTATTAAAGTTGGTCATATCTACTACTCTCTGACAACTTTCATGATTTAGGAATACCACCCCGTCTACAATAGCAATGCTAAGCAAATAACTATAATAACTATTCCTGAAGTGTTTCAAGGTTCATAGGTTCCCACCTCAATGATCTACAAAGCATAACCACAACTTATTCCAACTCATGTACAGTATTAAGTGGGACTAAGTGCATATCAAAAACATGGGTATGTAAAAGTATGATCAAAGTGCGAACTTGCCTTGATGATGATTCCTGAACTCTAAAATTGATAGTACCCAGTCTCGCACTCCAAACAATCTAGCATAAGCAAACAATAGCACAAACATAAGCAATCAAAGATCCAAAATAAAAGCAAAGACTATAAGTATGCAAAAACTCCAGAAAGATCCAAACCAAGCTTCTAGACAAAAACATGTTTTAACAGGAGGTAATTTATGTGATTATGATGCTAGAAGAAAATAGATGTGAAGAGCTTCAATTTGCAAAAAGAATCAAATCAATCAGAGTTATGGATTGAATGTTATGGCCTAATTAAATTTAAACTTGAATCTAGTTAACTTCAAATTTCAAAGTTTCAAAAATATTATTTTCTGGGTCTGCTTGATAGATGGGATCAATATGAATCAGTTCGAAAAACAATCAATGCCATTGGATTTGTAGAACTAAACATATACTAATAAGAAACTTTGAAGAAAATCTAAAGAAGAAAAACTCTGCCATGGCATCGTTTCTAAAAGTGCTACGTTGCCACTGCTGCATGACGTTCCACCTGGCGCGACACGATTGGCTACGGGTATGCATTGTGGGGCTTAAGCGGCGGACGATCGAAAATCAAGAAAATTGAGCGGCTGTGGCTAAATAAAAAACATAGCGGTTTTATTTTATTAAACTGCTAGTTCAGTTTAACTAAATCGAAGAAAATCGGGTTAAACACATACCAATTTGCAGCTCCAGATTATATATAAACCTATGCGTTAATTTCAGATCAGATGGAGGAGGTTCAATGGCAGGTTACCGCAAAGGGTAAGCGACGGTGGCACTCGATGTCGACGGTCCCGATGCTCCAGTGGTCACAGCAGGTGGCGGAGTAGTCAAGTGGATGTGACGGAGCGAGATGCGTCCGACGGTGGTGAAAATGGTGATCGATGATGACGGGAGCGAGCGGGGCAAGCTCAGAGAAGCTTCACTGTCCGAGGAACTCCAGTGAGAATGGGCGAAGACGAGCCGGTGGCTCCTATGCGTCGAAACCGTGTCAAACGGGGTCACAAAGAAGAGAGAAGGCGACAATTAGATATTGAGGAGTCGAGGGTGCTCACCTGCGATGGATTTTCCTGTCGAACTTGCGTCGGTGAGCAAGATCAATCTCTCCCATACGGCTGGTAGGCGTGGTCTTGGGTTCAGAGTTTTTGGGCAAAAGGGAGCCAGGGTCACGGGGTGTTTATAGGATAGCTTCGTGAGCAAGGGGGAAAGCGAGGCGATAGATTCCCAAAGGATTTGAACAGTGGGCGACGAGTGCATGCGAGACTCGGACTCCTCCGGCATAGGGAAGAAGGCCTGGCAGGTGGTTCCCACC